GGAGGGTAAGAGAAGCTCTAGAAGTACAAGACAATGCGAATAGGTAGGGACTTTCTAGGGGGTACAGGGCATGCCCCATGAAATTTTAAGTTAGGGTAAACAGGTGGGAAATTTGTTGCGCATGCGCCAGATTTCCATTGAAACTTGAAGATTTCCCCGAAGAAATATTACGAGATGTTCGTGGTTGTTGTATATTTTTGAATGCCTGTTTAATCTTTATAATTTTTTTGCTTGCGACAAAGACAAACTAAAATGCACTCTACGTTTCCAGTGTATAGAATATCTCGTTTGAACAGCGATAGAATATTATAATCTTGACACAAACATTAAACAAGAAGACATTTGACACGCTAAATCTGCAGTCATGCCTGAGGTATAAAAGCCTTGTCAAACGCAAAACAAGTACAAATTTGGGTTCAAACAGAAAGAAGTTCAATGTTAATACAACCAACATATACTATACAAATTTGGGTAGTTGAAAATGTTTTCAATTGAATTTTCAAAGTTTTTATCTATCGCTATGATAATCAAACTGTGAAAATGCCGCAGTTTTGTTGGCGCTTGCGAATGCAAAATATTCCTTCCCGTAAAGAGAGCATTTGTACACAAAACTCTCGCTTAGTCTTCTGATGCACTTGTACGTTCGGTTCTACTAGTTAAACAAGGAAAATATCCAAGAAACACTGGTAAATTATCGTTGTCAAAAAACATTTCAGTGCTGAGGCAGTACAAGGTCTCAAGGGCAAGGTCAAGTTGTCGATTTCATTACATTTTACAGTTACTTCGAAAGCTTCGAATGTTTTCGGACTCTTGCTTCATACAAGAGCAGTAAACGCACGCATTTCAAAGCGAATTTAGACGCAAAGGGGCAATTTTTCAACAAAATTTATTGTTAAATTTTGTTTCCTATGTGCCTTGGGAGCAAAAAAATATGATTTTAAATTTGGAGGAATCGGTAAATTTTTTTGCAATTTGGCCTGGTTTTGCACCCTACCTATGCAATGACTGTGCTGTAAAAGTAATCAAATATACTATTTTGAATTTCCCTTCATTGAAAGGATCTACTATTGTGGACTAAACTAAATTTCAATCAGCATACAAGGCTGCAAACAACCGCCAAGAATTAGCTGCATGGTAGTTTGCAAACTTTAAAAATAATTGGACCTCAAACTTTGATCCCCAAAAGTAAACAAATGGCAATACTGCGAACATAATCCAAGTTTTGACCACTAGGGGCAATTTTTAGATGTAAAAAAACTTGTTTAAATTACATATCAAACAAAGGCAAAACAAAATTTGGTATTAATTTTTTGGAGGAAACGTCAAGGTTTTTTGCTATCCGCGCACGCTTCTACACCCCCTCCCCCAGGATCTTCTCTATCAGAAAACAGTTTTCTGCAGAAACTATGCTTTTTTATCGGGAAAATTTTTACTTTTCTCAAAAGAAAAATTTATAAACACGGAAACCTTAAATATTTAAATAATTTTCATACCTTTTTGGGATTACAAAAAGTAAAATTTGATTCATTATCACACTTTTTAAAATATATGTGACAAAGTTGCATCGAAATCACTATCACGCATAGCATGTTTATTTACCCTCATCCTTTTGACTGAATAAAGTTTATCTTTTTGAAAAGCTATTTGTTTTATAGCTCTTGGTTAGCAGTATACGTTTATGTCGATTTTGGCACCCATAAGACCAACAAGTTGTGGTAATCCGCGAATGAAAACTGATATTCGAAAAGCACAAAAGCCTACTCCTAGCTATGTAACTTTATCGCCTGAATTTTGAATCAATCCACAATTAAATTGCTGGTAATGTAGATTCTTTCCATACTTGAGATGTTAGTGAAGTTTTTCCAAAAATTTAATTTCCTTGATCGCCGTCTTAAAAATGCAAAATCAAAAGTTGAAATTTCACTCGTGTTGTTTTTTCAAATTTTCGAATTTTTGTAAAATATCGCGTGCGCCAGCAATTTCTCTGCACAGCGACAACAAATTTCCCAGCTGTTGTTAGGGTATTCTTATATCACCTTTTTAAAGTGGAAAATATAGGAAAACAACAAAAATGCCGAGAACTTTGGTAATATTCGCAATACGCGTGACGTCACGTTTTTCAACAAGGATGAGGTCAATGACGTCAGGAAGTTTCCTATCCAGTTATTTTACAATCCATGATATCACTTCTAATTACAAAATTATCAATTTCCCAACATATATATGTTAGGTATGTTATTATACGTAATATAAGCTTCAATTTACTGAGGTAAAATTCAACCACAAACGCTTCGCAAAACGTTTTAAAGTGTTCTTTAACTTCTTTATAAAATTAATGAGTTTGCAATAAAATTATTTCAAATTCTCGCATGCAAATAACTTTGCTTTCTTTTTTATTTAAAAAATTCAATATAATAAAAAAGGGAATCTATATTAAAGATACACTAAAATTTTATGCTGTCTTGCTTAGTTGTTTTTTCATATACGCAAAGGCCGTCGGGTTTTAAAATCAATATTTAAAACAAACTTACCTTCGTTGACCTCCGTTAACGTTGGCTCCCTTCTTTTAGCCGATTCTTTCGCCCTTTCTTTCTTGAAATTTACAAAATCTTGCAAAAATGCGAGCAAAAATGAAATATATTTGCAAGAAATTTATCAATCATCATATCAAATCAAGAAATGTTTGCTATTCGCTGTCGTCATGCAGTCGTTATAATGCAAACTTTAAATTGGACCAATCAGTGTCCGCTATTCATGACAGTCCGCCATATTTTTAAGATCAGTGAGGATGACCACCCACGTTGGTCACCCACGCCCGTGATAATTGATAAACTTTAGACTTCGCTAATGCTTTCGTTTCCCCGGGTGTAAATAGCCGGGGGGAATTAGTAACCTCGCACGGCGCCCTTCGCGCCGTCGGCTCGGGGATCAAGCACATTTTAAATAAGTTTTAACTTGGATTCAAGTACATCCAAGCTGTTTAACCATCGACAAGTTAAAACCACAACTTTGTCCAAATTCGGCGCCATTTTGTCATCCCATGTCGGTTGTCAACAATGGTAAGACCAACAATCAACATTTAATTTATAGTATGACATGTTTATATAATATGTATTTGTTTGTCGCTACAAGAAATAAAACAAACGTTTGTATGATTGTATTTAGTTTTTAGTCTATTTCACGCAGCCTTCTTCTATCTTCATGAAATAATTCACCCCCCTGTCACGTCCCTGTTACTTTGTCACGCGAGATTTGTACGGAATGTTTTGAAAGACTCGTGATATATATATATATATATATATATATATATATATATATATATATATATATATATATATATATATATATATATAACCAACAATGAGATGATGGATGTGGGACACATAAATTATATATGCGACAAGAACGCCATTCAACCTATACGCATGATCTCTGCATGTCACAGATTTAAATCAGCGCAACGGCCAAAAGGCAATTGTGCCCCAAGCTCACTACCAGCAACTGCGGACAGCTGTTTCGCCCTTTTGGGGCTCGTCAGCGCAGTGTAGCTGATAGTGAGCTTCATGGCCAGAAATGACGGACATTGTGCAAGCGTACCAGTCGGTCAGCGGCTTTTCCGTTTATCCACAAGAATTCCTAATTATCCTATTACGACCTATCAAAGCATCCGGAATTTCAAATATTCGCGTGGGTGTTGTTTATAAAGCAAATCATGAAGTATGCACTCAAGTTGTGGCCTTTGGTTTACCAGGCTCAGGGTGTAGCTAAGCAATGACTACGGGAACGAAAAGAGAAACTTTCGACGAGTATTTTGGTTCCAAACATGTAGCAAGGCAATCAATATATATAGTTTTGGCAAGCGAATGGAATATCACTTTTCGACCGCGAAGTAATATTGTAATATGCATATTAACGCACCGGCTTGCGAATTTCAAAACAAAAAAGCAGAGCTTTTATCGGGTGTAACAAAATAATAAACGGCGGAAGGCAAGGCTATACTATTCGTCAAAATAAAATGATTTCAACAAATTTCGATAATTGAATATATTACGAGATTTTGCCGTTTGAGCGAGAAATCTTCATAGATTCCTATGTAAAGTGAGGTAAAATGTTTTAATATTCAATCGCAAAAAGCAGAGCGACTATACAAAGTAATGAGAACATTTTTTTTAATGTGTTACTATACGACCGCTACTTCTTGAACCAATTTCAACAAATATTCTAAGATAAATATATAGCATGCTATATTGAAAATACTCCGCTCGCCTGATAATAAACATAGGGCATTGCGCAGCCATTGTTGCGTTGATGCGCGTGGTAACATGAAACCTGAGAAATGCAAATGTCCGTGATTTCTGGCCATGGAAAGGCCACGCTATCAAAATTCTAATTTTTATATATTCAAATTGAAACAAATCCATTGTGCTAGCACTGATTATATTGTGTGTAAAACTTCAAATTTCAAAATTACATCACATTCTGTCATTCTGTATATAAAATAACATGAACAATTGTCTACTGAAATTTAATACAAGTTATACAACGAATATAGCATTCCACTTCGATAATTTCAATCATAGTCGAGTCGAGATCATAGTTTAATAAATATTTTCAATCTATTATAGTAATTCACGGTTTCCACGGGTTTTTATACTTTCAGTAAGCCACAATAAAGCTAAATTTGTAGGGAAATATAAACATTGTTTACTTCGAATAGTCAATCAGTGATAAAACCTTGACCTGTTGACCTTGTTATTACCGTCCCCTGCAACTACAGATGAACAGTTGCGAAAAGTTTGAAAAAGTTTTGTTATTTTGACATAATAGCTATTTTTCAATAAATATATTGATATTAAACTTATTGAATCAATATGTTAAGTTTCAGGCCAGTCGTACCAAAATTTATAACCACTTGCGGACCATAAAGGCGGATTTCCACTCAGTGCACGCGACATTTTGCGATCACTTTCTTTTGAAATACAAGCTATCAAACGCAACGGATCAGGTTGACTGAACGCGTTTCAAAAGAAAGTGATCGCAAAAAGTTGATCTCGCGATATTTTGCACTGAATGGAAATCGGCTTTAGTCACAGAATAGATACGAGACCAGAAGGGACACTTCTATGTGTTTTGGCTTGGGAAAAACGTCCGAATTTTTTTACGTGCTATTAACTCATCCTGGAGTGCACACGGCACTTTGTACCTATGTTTGTCCTATGAAAAACTTCTGTGTGCACTCCAGGATCGCGCCATATGATGGCCACGTATTTTCACGTCAGCACTCGTAAAATTTCGGACAAAATATTGTCTGAGTGAGTGACTCTTCTGGTCCAGTATCTATTCTGTGCTTTAGTTGTCTTATCACGATGAGATACATTTCACTACACTTTACATGGCGGATCTCGGAACACCGGTGGAGGCACTAGGCGAAGGAGCGCAGGCGTAAAAGGGTGAAGGAAAGGCAACTAAAGCCTCTGCGGAGGAGAGAGGACATGCAACATTTACGCACTGCGTACCTATTTTTTTAAATAAAAAAGAAAGCAAAGTTATTTGCATGCGAGAATTTGAAATCATTTTATTGCAAACTCAATTTAATGTTTATCGATAAAGCCATTTAATTAAAGGCAGTTTAGTTCGATAAAGAACACTAAAACGTTTAGCGAAGCGTTTGCGGTTGAATTTTACCTTAACTTGAAGCTTATATTACGTATAATTACATACCTAACATATATATGTTGGGAAATTGATAATTTTGTAATTAAAAGTGATATTTTAGGCGATTTTTCACTTGTATTAAAGAATATTCTTAAAACATTATCATGTAACCATGACAACTACTTTAGATACTTCATGTTCGGAAAATACAATGGTTTTTTCAAGGCCAGGGTTTCTGCATGCATGTATAGTTCTAGTATTAGAATTTAATAGCACTCATGCAAGACCCAAAGTTTAAACATCCCAGTCTTCTCTCTTTATTATGGATGATTTCATCTTGGAACTTCACTTGTGTCATCAGGGCGCGGTCGAGAAATTATTGTGCTAAATACGACCTTTTACAAACGGCATGATTATGCATGCTCATGGCAAGCCTGATCATGCATTATTTATTCCCTCTTGAGAGAACACCACTGAGCTGTATAATAACTGGAGGACCTGCTCCTACACTTCGCTCAGTCAACAATGTGAAGTCAAAAACATGGCGAATTTTGACGTTTGCTGACGCCATTTCCATGACAACTCGTCTGAAATTCACACACAATTACCACTGATAAACCGCGATCTTGAGCTAAAGACAATGTTTTTACCTCTCTGCCGTTTAATTTTACACCTCTGCCTCTACTGCCAGTTTTTTTTAGTTAAAACATTTAATAATTATTTTCTATTTTTCTCGTATATTTTGCAATTTTTTACAACTTGGAAGGAAAAGTGCCGTTTTTCTCCTCTTGCTGATACAACAATTTACTTTAAAGGATGAGTATCAATTCTTTTCACAGGTAAGATTCATGTGACTTGGATAACGGATACCAAGTTATAAAAATATTTTGTCAAAATTTGTTACTTTATCATGTCAATATGAACTACAAGTATTTCAATATCAGACATAAAAGTTATGATAAAAAACATTGTAAAAAGGTTGAGAAATTTTGTCCATAAGATTTTCTTTTTTCTTTTAGCCTTGGCGATGTGTTTTTTCCAGCTTTTATTTAAATTTATAATTTGTGGCATCCTCATATTATTAACAGACTATAAACAGGTGAATATTTTCAAATTCACATTACTATTTTAAATATTTCATGAAAATTTTTTTGGAATATATCGTAGAATGGTCTCTATTTTTTAGAAAATAAGACACAAGTATTTATAATGTGGTTGTAGATAAACTTTTTTGTATTTACTGTAACCTATAATAATGTCACCCCTCAATACCAACGTATGGCTGTATACATGTACTGTATATGATGGCATGAAACTATGATGTTCTAGTATATGAAATGGGGAATTAAGGTTTTATAGATTTCGCCAAGGGTCTTGTTATGCACGAATGAGCTTGTGGTGAACTGGTGAAGGAAAGCTCAGCTGATCTGAGAATTCGTGTATTACCAAGGATTGTACAGTAGTTTACATGCTCTCTGATAGTTTGATGTATGTATCTTTAAAAGGGCATTAGCTTTTTGCCCCAATGCTTCAATATTTCTGGTATCCCTGAGGTAAGGGTTGTTATAAACGCGTTTGGGCGAATTTGTTTATACAGATTATGGTGTGAAATTCATTCATATATTATATTACTTACTGTAATATAGACCAGGATTAGCACAAGCAAGAGAGAGGAGCAAAGTGGGCAAGATAGCCAGGGCCACTATGCTGGATTCACTTGTTATACAACATATAGTCGACATATACTGTTAACGACTGTTGGCCCAAATACAGTAAGTTGACTGATCTGATTTTGCCATATAGTCAAGGATTAAGAGACTCCTTAAACTGTTATTTTATTTTACAATCTTTGTCAAATAAATGACAGGTTATACCCACAGAGCAGAACACTACTTTACGGGTAACCTTAACTATTTATACAGAATACATATAAGTGATAATTATTAACAACACGATTTAACAGAGAGACTAAACAAGGGACGACATGAATGACATTTAACACAGATTGTTTTGAAAGTTTGTGGCACACCATGCAATGTCATAAATTTCTTCAGACATTTTCTGATAGTGATTAAAGAGATTACATTTAAATTGATTAATAGAGATATTTGATTGACGTAAAACTGATGGTAAACAGTTAAATGTCCTAGAAGATCTGCAATAAAAACGTGTTTTGAAATGTTAATGTGTTTGCACGAGGAATATGTAATGTAATTTGAGCTGTTCCACTGTTTTCCCTGGTCACGCGACAAGTTGTCTTTATTTGAATGTTCCGTCCTGGGATGAAACAAGCATTTTGTACAGATATGCGATATCAAGATATTCATGCCATGTTAAATGTGATGTTGTGAGCAGTAGCATAGTAAAACGGAAGTTGGGTGAACAATCTTTGGCGTCATCAAGAATTTGGTTGGTGGTGGGGGCTGCCAATGCCGAAAGGATGTTCCTGTTAGATGGTCTGGGGGCACCCTCACCCAGAAAATTTTGAAATCTGAGGCCTCTCTGAGCCCTGAAATTCAATCAAACTTGCTACCTGAGTAAATGTCTAGTTAATTTGCGGTATAAGTTATTATATTTTGCACATGTCCCCTGGTTCCCACATTTCGCAATAGATTTAAGCGTCTCTCAAAGGTGGTCCAGTCCACCCTGTGGCTACCGCTATGCCTAGTTATGGGCCAGTCCAGTAACACCTGACTAGTACTGTCCCTGACAGGATGTCAGACAAGCAACTAGATTCCAATCACAAACTTTAAGTCTAAGAAGCATCATATGATTGTTAATATAGGATAAGAGTCTGTCCTGCTTCTGTTACAAAATGCTTACAAAGCTTACAAAATGCACCTCTAAGATACAGCATATGGGTAATAAAATGTTGCCATTTTCCAAAAACGAAAGTTGAAGCAAGAATAAATGGATTATTCCTGAAAAATATCCACATCATCCCTACATAGGAAATGTGAAGTTGTAAGCCCCCTTCCTATTTATAGTGTATTTTGCTTTTAACAGGAGTAAATTTTCCCCTTCCAGACAGCATAAATTTCTTCCATATAGTCGGAGTGTGGAGAGAGGAATGATTTTTGTCTTTTATCTAGCCGGAATTATTGGTTATAGGTATTACAAAAGATAGTATATACAAGGCATTAAAATGCACCCAGTAGCTAAAAGCGAAGTCATAATATTATTACCATACTAACTTAATTATCTGATGGTAATCATAATTGGATATTCTGGGGGGTGCAGGTGGTGTGCACCCCCAAAAATATTATCACGCCCTCAGAAAGTTTTCCCACCCCACCTAGAGAAATTTGCACACACCCGCCGAAAGTTAAATGCTTGTTTGATTAAATGATATATAGTAGTATGATTGAACAAGGGTTTTGAACAAAATAAGACTTAAAACCCAAGACCAAAAAGATCAAAATTTCCTGGGGTCTTTGCAATTTTGCCACTTTGCCCCTTACGCCGACTAGTGACTATACCCCCAGACCCTGCTGCATCTTACTCAGCATGTTACGTTCCTCTCACTTACCTTCCACCTCTGAATTTTTGTGCACCTCCCCCCCCCCCCCCCC